ATAAAAACAAACTCTGGGAGCGATTTTTTTACTACTGTTGAGCATTGTTCGAATCTGTTCTGGACTATTTCATATTTTCCGTCCAAAAGCCGCAAGTAGGGGGGCAGGCCCGACCTAACATAAGCCCTCGCGCCTTTTGAGAAGTCCTCTGTGCCTCCGGGGAGCGCCTGGAGAAAGCTCACCAGAAGGCCGGGGGACTTCCGAGCCTTCAGCGGCGGCCCGTCCCGGCTCACTTCCCCCCCGGGCTCGCCACCGAACCACCCACCAAACCACCCCACCCCAACCCGAAGGCCCCCACATGGCCTCCATTCCCAGCGGGGGGGGCGTCGGGGAACATTGAAAAACACGTGTGGAACCCGTGCTCCCCTGCTTCCCCAACCCGAAGTTTGGGTCTTCGGGTCCGGTTGGGGTGGTCTGGCAGGTCGTCAGGCAAGACGGCGTGGGGGGGTGCGTGAGGGCCACCGAGCAAGGAGGCGCGCTTGCGCGGTAGGGGCGCAAGACTCAGAGGATCAAAAGGTACCCACATCGCCACCCTTCCATTGTTTTCGCCTTGTTGGGTTTCCTGGGAGGCCCTCGTCGCCATGGCTGGATTCGACTCGAAAGTGAGTCACAACGCACCCTGGGAGAGGCCCGGGGAGCAGCGGTACGGGTACCTTGTTTGGTTTCCCCTAGGGCAGTGCGTAAGTGGTGAGTGGCAGGGCGTAGAGGGGACGGGTCACCAGCAGCGTACAGCGATGCGGATGCTATGAGCAAGTGGCGGGGAGCAACGGGCAGAGCCCGGGGGGAGTGCTTGGGTTAGGTCGGGCTTGTCCCTCTACAGGAGGAATGTTCAAACATAGTCAGAGAATAGTCGGGGGACGATGCTTTGAGTATGCTTGGCTATTCTTGATTTTCGTTTTGGGGTATTTGTGATTTTTCTGCCCAAAAACCGCTTGTAGGGGGACAGGCCCGGCTTGTGGCTTGGGCATGAATGCAGGAGGGTGAAACACACACAGACGCAAGTAACGAATCGTCGGCTCCCAGGAGAGCATGGGACGCGGAGGGGAAGGCGAGCGTCCAGAAAACAAGGGGAGACGGGGTGGAGTCCTGGGACGTGTGCCCACTTGTAGTGTGCCCCCGGGCCCCTTTTCGGTGGAGGGCAGCGAGCCGAGACGCGGGCCCGCCCGGCGTGCCCAACAGCCGTGGGCCCGACGAGAGGGAGCCTTGCAGCAGTGGGTAGGCCACCAGTGCTGCTCAGAGTGTCGATGTGCGCACGGTGGGGGGGGGGGGGGGGCAGAGTGTCGATGCACGTGCCGTGGGGGGGCCCATGCCAAGAAACACCCTGCTTGCCTCCGGGGTGCCCTGGGCTTCTTGGGGTTCGATGGCTCTGCTGTGCGAAGCGTGGCGTCTCCACGCCAAACATCCATGGACGTCCTGGGGTCTCAGGGTTGGGCTTCTCGTGGAAGGTTTCTGTGGACTGGCCTCCGTTGTAATTGGGCCAACAGTTCTGCTCAGAGTGTCGATGGACGTAATTCTGCGGGCGGTGTTTAATAATTACGCTGCCCCGCCCGCAAACGGGACAGAGTGGTACGCGGCTTCTGGCCTGCCAGTTTTCGATTATTTTGCGTGTCAGGCGCTTCCCCCCAGTGTACCATATGCCTCATGAGCCCCCTCGAGCCCGTGATGCCTCCAGCTGGTGCCATGATGGTCGCAGGCCGAACTTTGTCCGAGTGGCTACGCCCGTCTGCCCACGCGCGCTCCTCTCATGGCGGGGGCGCGTGGTGGGACTCGGCTTGTTCGTTGTTGCCGATTGGTGTGGTCCCCGGGGGTGCCCGTGGTGGCCCAGGAGGCTTCGGATGGGGGAGCTTGCAGGCGGGGCAGGAGGGGTCCGACGCCGAAGAGGAAGCCGGGAGGCGAGGAGTGAGGGGTGAGGGTGAAGAGAAGAAGGAGGATGATGAGGACGACCAGGGTATCCCCAGCACGAGCCAGTGATTCTGCAATGCGAACTATTGTCCCAGGCCCCCCTCATTGTGCTTCAAACTGCGCCTTCTGGTCCCGAGGTCCCCCCTCATCAGAAAATGCTTTTATTTAGCTGTTTTCACTGCAGCAACTGGACGCCGGAGAGGTGCTGCGACCATGGGCCTGCGACAGGTCTACGGCTCGAGAGGGCTGGAGAGACGATTATCCTATAGCCTCGCTGCGCGTGTGCAACTTGGGAAGGCTGCAAGGGACATCATCGGAACAGTGGGGACCTTGTCAATTTTGCAAAGCGCGCCAGCGTCCATGTTTTGGGATTTGACCGCGTAGCGTTGCAAATCGCCCTCCGCCCTCCACCAATTTAGCTGGCAGGAGCTTCAGGGAAGATGCTCATACAGTTGTGTTGATAATCGTCCTTTCCTGCTGTCCTAGATCCAAGATTTCGCTTTCGAATCACCCTCCCCATCGCCCCCCATCCGCGTCTGCGGAGAGTTTCGAGTCTGGTTTGAGAGTGGCTGCGTCATGTTGTGGGGAGTCGCGTTGGCACGTGTTGGCAGCGTGTTGGTAGACGTCTGCTCTGTCACATGGTGTCCCACCCTGTGCTTATACGGAGAAGCGCTGTTGGCGCGGCAGGCTGGACCATCCTACGACGACACGAAGATTTCCGAGTTGGCACAGAGCCTCGAGTCGTCGACAGGGACATGCGTTGCTCAGCCTTGCCAGCGATCTCGTTTGCTCAGGGCGAGTCCTCGGCGGCAGCAGCGCTCGCGCTGTAACAAGCCAGAAGTTGTGTCATGCCAGATTTAGCTTCTCATTCCACGTTCCAGTAGTAGCACGATTGCAGCGGACTCGCGAATTCGTGGTGGAGCTCAGCGTTACGCCACTCGCAGTCGTCTCCCGGCGCATCCACGCACAACGGAGGACCAGGCCTGGGAGCCCCAGGGCCGCGACCTCGGCCGCAGATGGGGGCCCTGGAGGCCGGGCCTGCTGGGCCCACGATCGCCCCCGAGGGCCATCATCGACTAGACGTAAGAGTCAAGCAGTGGCGAAGCGTCCTGGCTCGCCTATAGCCCTACCACCCTACCAAACAATGTTCTAAGAACCTGTTGTGGTTTCCACGAAATGTTCTTAGAACATTTCTGGCGAAGTCTGCCTTGTTTTGTCACATCGGGTCATGTTATAAGAGCATTTCGTGGTAGGACTATAGGAATGACGGGACGGTCGGTACCTGCTCAAAAGGGTGACCTTTCGCCGGAGTGACCTTTGGTGCGGGCACAGGTGGGCCCTCAGATGGCTGAAAACGAAGCGGTAGCAGCGGCTTGCGCGCCCAGGTTTGGTCTCCCCGCGGCCCCCAAAAAGCCGCGCACCAGGGGTCACTCTTACCCAGGGTCACTCTTGCGTGTAGCCGACATCAGACAGTCATCCAGGCGGCCTCAGGCAGCCCCGAGTCAGCCCCGCTACGGCCTCCTTGGGGTCTCGCACTGCTCAAGAAGGCTTCCGGACGCCTCGGGAGCTCAGGCTCAAGACAGCCCTACAGGGCCCCATGAGACCGGTCGTGGGTGCGCCAGAGAGGACAGGAACTTTCAGAAACCAGGGGGGGATCCATGATTTGTGCTTTTGCGGCGTGTCGCTTCCGATGAGCGTCTCCCGTTTCCAAAACGCCTCCAAGTGCCCCCCGGAAGGCCTAAGACCCAAGACGCCCCCAAATTGCCTCAAGCCGCTGTTGGCTCAAGTCGCGATTGCAGTCTCTCGAGCCACAAGTTTTGCCAGCATTAACCAGCACGTGCGAGGCGATGGCACCAACGAGATCAAGTGACACCAACGCCCAATCGCGCAACAGCGGCGCCCTGTTCCCTGCGGGCTGGCCGCCGAACTGGACTGCCCAGGTCACAACCGCGGCACCCCCGGGACTTCCTGGGTCTGGCAGCGTTCTAACGACTGGTTCGATGGCATCCCCCCGTCGCCGACGACGGCCCGCCACGATACGAAACAGCATGGTGCAGAAGCCCCGTGCGTGGGCGAAATGTCGCATAGATCGTTGAAAGTAGGAATTTCTGGATTCCCAGATTCCAGTGTACTCTTGGCGCGCTCCTGTGTTCAAGGGTCTTGTGGCTCTCCTTATCCCCTTTTGTCTTTATGGGGCGAGCGGAGATCCGATCTTCTTTCAACGCCTTCATACTTGTGATCGTTTTTTTGTTCATTGTTTTGCCGATCGGCGCGGGTCCTCGGCCCCCCTCCCTCCCCCCCCCCTGGAGTGGGTCTTGGCTTTTTTTTCGCCTGTTTCGAGCAGGTGGCGTTTTCCCTCAAAGGACCCAGTGCTGCAGACAGTCGCACTGAGCAGAGGCCCGGAGCCAGACCCCCCCCCCTCCCCCCCCCCCTTCCGCCCAATATCGAAACGCCGGATAAAAACCGCTCACCTTTATGTCTCTACCCGCCTCTTCCGACCGATGGGTGCACATACCCGCAAACAAAAGTGCATAGCAAACAACAACCAGCGCGAGGATGAAGGCCAACACGCCGTTAAAGCAGTGCGGGCGGGGCCCTTCGCACTTGGTGGCAGCCGCTTGTCAGTGTTACGAAACACCCTGACAGACGCACCGCATTGTGCACGACAGGCCTCGCATCGTGTGAGCGAGATTGCAAGGCCGTCCTGGGACGAGCCACGACTACGGCACCGGAGCGCTCACTTTGGATAAACGCCCACGCAAAAATTGGCATCCGCCTTTCAATGCTGCCGCGAGGCGCGCACGCCAAGAAAGACCACATCAATGACTTGGCAATGGCGCGCATTCGTGGGCGTTGTCAACGTTGGAAGGGGGACCTTACTTAAGAACCATCCAGTTGGCGTCGTCGTTTGGATTTCATTGGACACAGTTGTCTTGTTGCTTGTGTTATCACTCTTCTTCCTGGTGTGTACTGTGCGCACGCTAGTTCCTTTGGAGTTCGTTCCTGGTAGAGGTCTCGACGCCCAAGCAGCCCGAGATCGCAAAGGAAACGCATCCCGCCTGCGTCGCAAACATACCGTCCACATGTTCCCCCGCTGTAGCCATCCGGGAGCGAGGCGGCCTGTCCCCGCCAGCGCCCGCCTATCTCCACACTGCGGCGATGGCGGCCGGTGCCGTCTTCCGCCTGCTGGTCGCCAGCCTGCTGGCGACCGCCTCGAGGGGCCTCGGCGAGAAGAGCTGCCTCGGCGAGGAAAACTGCTATGCCGTGGCAGAGGAGGAGTCCGAGGAGGAAGCGGTACTTATTCTGTTACCTTGCCCTCGTTTTCACTTTTTCTGGGCTTCCTGGATGGCCCTCGTCGCCAACGTTGGATTCGTCTCGAGATTCTGGTCAGAACGCACACCGGGAGTGGTCTGGGGAGTAGCGGTATCGGTACAGTCGGACCGAGGTATAAGATCGAGGTCGGTTCAGGGAGGGTACCCTAACAACAATGTTTTTCTTGCATGTTGGATGTTCTTGTGCACCCTGGGGGGGGCACCCTCTGAGGTTTTTCAGTCTGGGCTGGCGGAGGGATTCGTGTTCTTGAACGACGTTCTTCTGTCCCAGGTCCGGCCGTACACTTTGGCTTCCGCGGAGGAGGTCGCAGAGCTGGCAACGCCCCTCCTGCAGACGGGCAGGGCGAGGCAGGCGCAGCCCTCTGCAGACGCTGCCGCCGTCGTGCAGGCGCCGACGGCCCCAGAATCTGCCGCTGGGCCCGTCAACGCCTCTATGCAGAGAGTTGCTTCCGATCACACCTGCATCACCAAAAATTGCGAGTGCGACGACACCGTGACCTGCTGCTACGGGACAAGCTGCAGACAGGGCTGGGGCGGCGTCGATCGGTGCCTGTTCGACAGCGACCCGACAGACGTTTCGGCCCAGGACCCGGAGAAGTGCGTGTGCAGCCCGCCCGCCGGCTACGGGATGGGCAGCGCGAACAACGCGAGCAGCGCGTGAGGGCCGCGTCCTGGCCACGTCGGCTCTCTCTCCAGGCTCAAGTCGGGCCTGTCCCTCTACAGGGGGAGTATTCAAAATAGTCAAACAATACTCTGGGGACTATTTTTTTAGTATTACTTGGCCATGCTGGGGTATCTTCGGAGCGTCTTTGATCTTTCGCCCAAAATCCCCCCTGTAGGGGGACACGCCCGACCTAACTCCAGGCCCCCACAGCGCAGGCTCTCCGAGTGGGCACGTCGGCGGGCCCACGCGCCCTCGGAGCGCGGCGGGACCGCCATGGGGGAGCGCGCCGCGCCCGGCCGTGAGGCCGCCCGTCGCACGCTCCTCCGGGCACCGATGGCTCAGCCGTCGGGACCCTGCGTTGAGTGGGGCCCGTCCCTCTGCAGGAGGAATACTCAAACATAGTGCACGAATAGTCTGGGGCCTATTTTTTTGCGTATTGTTCGACAAGTTTGGAATATGGTTTGACCATTTTTTTATTTTTCGTCAAACATCCCCCTGTAGGGGGACAGGCCCGACCTAGACCCTGCGTGATCGAGGCAGCGCCTCTCTCCGTGGCGTTGCTGCCAACCCGTCCGAGCTTTTCCCAACTGGCTATTCGATGCACCGTGCCCCAGACCCAGCACGGCGGATCCGCGGCCGCCGTCTCGAGACAGAAAGCATATGTTCTCATGTCTGGGGAGGATCCACCACCACCGCCTGGAGGGGGGGGGGCGACGGCGGTCAGGAGTGGTGGTGGTGGTGGTGGTGGTCTTCTCGGGGCTTCTTTCGCAGGGGGGAGGGGGGGTCATACCTTAAGCGAGTCGTTTTGGAAGCTCATTTCCGCATGCATAATGCACTCCTTTGTATTGGTGTAGAGGCTATTGAAGGCCGTGAAGGTCACTAAAAGCTGCTAAAAGCCGTTGAAGGCCATTAAAGGCTGCTAAAAGGCGACCGAAGACCTCTGAAGGTCGCGAGTAGTACGCATGAGGCCACTAAAGGCTAATAGACCGAGGCGGTATGTGTTAGAATGAGCTTCCAAACAACTCACCTAACATACCTGCTTCCCGCCAATCAGCAATTCATCACCCCCCTAGATGTTGGTGGTGCGCTACTTGGCCCCTGGCATTCCTTATATTTCTCCTCCGCCGCCGCGACCTACTGCACCTCCTCCTCCTCCTCCTCCTCCTCCTCCTCCTCCTCCTCCTCCTCCTCTCCCCCTTCCTCCTCCTCCTCCTCCTCCTCCTCCGTCTCCGTCTCCTCCTCCTCCTCCTCCTCCTCCTCTCCTCCAGCCCGTCTCCCCTTGATCCTACTATTCTTCTTTCCTGTTCGTCATATTGGTCCGCCTCCGTCACCGTCATCCGTCTCCGTCAGCGCGGGCGTCCAGTCTACGGCCAAGCAATGCTATTGTCGAACATGGGAGCAAGAAACCTCCCGATTAGTTGGGCCAGCGTTTCTTAATCAAATTCCTTGACTGCTGGAACAGTTTATTGAGCATGTTCGCCCCTCCATCGTTGAAAACAGAATTTGGCCCAGGTCTGCTTGAAGAAATTCCCGGAAAGTTGGCCCAGATTCTGAAATCATAGTTCTCTTGATCATACTTCTGGCTGAAGTGTTCCGTCTCGCCGAAGTGAGGAAGTCACGACTTGAAGATATCTGACGTCTTGAAAGAGCCAGGACGTCGCCAATCATCAATGACCTGACTTCTCGTTCTAACATTGATGCAGCTGTTGTCGAGGGTCGGACCTCGAGTGCCCCGGGGCTCGGGATCCGGCGAGAGCACATTTCCAGTTTTGTTGTTTCCCCGACGTCCAGAGATCAGGGAATGTCTCGTTCATCGTTGCACGTCAGCTCTGGTGAGAATGTGCGGGCTCAACTCTGTCACGTCTGGGTCGGCAGTCTGGGGAAACGTGCCGATTTTGGCAAAGGTCTGGGCCCCGTGTGGGCTGGAGACCCTCACGTTCTCGTTTCTCGCCCGTCCGAGCCCCCCCGAGGCCGAGTGTGTTGAAGAAAATGTGTATGCACAACTGCAAGACTGGATGGTTCAATTCGCTTCGCTTCAACTCTTGATCCTGCGTCCGTGTACCTTCGGGCACCTGTGGAAAGATGGAGAGGTGGGACGCTGTTGAAAGCATCGCAGGGGAAGCAGGAATGAGAAGTTGGGCACCCCGAAATCGGGCTGGGTAAACAGCGGGTCCGAGTACGGAAACATTGGGACGGATCTCGATACAAGCGGACCGGGGCAACCCAATTTCTTCGAAGAGTATGCGAGGGCGATTGGAGCGGGGAAAGATCATGACATCGAGGAGGTGAAGGTTATGCTGTCGAGAGGGGCCCATGAGCATGGTGGAGGTTGAGGGCATGTCCGTGGCAGTAATCCAAATCATGACCGCGAAGGGGCTAACTTAACGGTACTGCGGGAAGGCGCACCCACAGCGATAATCATGTCATGTGGGGGCGAGGGTGATCACCGTGAGCGAGGTCTTGGTCGAGGTGGTGGGGGGCTCCAGATATACTCTGTGAGTGGGGTCAGCGTGATGACCACGAGGAAGGAGTCAAGGCTATGTCGGGCTAGCTTCGCATGAGTTGCTGCAGAACTTGCTGGCCTGTCGGCGGGACGCAGCTGCCGGTGAAGTGTCGCCAGGGCAGCGGCAGGTCGAGCACGCCATCCCTCCTCGGAGTGGTCGTCGGGCCAGAACTCGGGCCTCAGGCGCCCGTCCGGGCCGATCCGGGCACCCCAGGAAACGCCTTCGGCGAGTCGCAGCTGCTGGAAGGCATCTCGCGGCGAGAGAGCGCCCAAGAGTCAACGAAATACTGCATGATCCAAGAGCCACGATGTCGTTTCAGGCACTTGCCCGAGGGCGTTCATGGCGCCACTCGCTCCTGGGGCCCTTGGAGTTGAGAACTGTTCCGCGTCAGAGCTGTGACGGTCACTGGTGGGCCGTCTTGGGGTCCTGGGGGCTGGTTTGTGGAAAAGCTTTTCGAAGCATCTTGGGACCCCTTTGGGTGTCTCTTACAGGCTTGATGGGCCACCTTGGAGGCCTTTTGTATGTCTCCGTGCGTTTTTTTTGGGGGGGGGCTCTTGGACCATCTTCGGGCTCTTTTGTGGCCGTCTCGGCGCCGGGCCTCTGGGGCCGTCTTGGAAGCTTCCTCAACGCTCTTGATGCCCTTTGGGGCGCCCTTTTGGGGCCCTCTTGAGCCGGACGTGGGAGGAGGGAACAGGGGGGGGAGCGGGAGCGGGAGGAGGGGAGGAGGGGAGGAGGGAGGAGGGGGGGAGGAGGAGGAGGAGGGGAGGAGGGGAGGAGGGGAGGAGGGGAGGAGGTAAGGAGGGGGGGAGGAGGGGGTGCTCTTGGAGGCTCCATGGGCCGCTGTGGGGCGCGCTCGGATCCCCCCCCCCTGGGGGCGTGAGCACCAGCAAGAGGCGAGAGGACGTCTGCCTTTTGCACAGCTTCCTGCGGGGAGCCGCGGATTGTGCCCCTCGCGTCCATCTCGTGGGGGCCTCCTGGGGCCCCCCTGTGGGGCCTGTTTGGCTGTGTTGGGGGCCACCTTGGCGCCACTTGGGAGCCGTCCTCGGTTTAGTTGCCTCGATACGCCCGTTTTGATGCGCAATACGTCAAGTGTTCAAGACGTCCGTGTCAATACGTTGCGTGTTGGCTCCACGTATTGGCCCACGTTTTGGCGAACGTATCGCGTCGGACCTACGTTTTCAGCTTACGTGTTGAGTTCCGTATCGATACGATACGTGTTGCGTGTTGCGTATCCGGGCAGCTAAGGTCCTCGGGCGCTCTTGTCCATTGCGGAAGTCGTTGCATGGCTTCTGGGGCCGCGCGCGACCTCACGGGGGGTGCAGGTGGCTAGCCACGGAGGCCCGGGAACTTTCCGAAACGTCGCCCCGGGCGGAGAGGGGGCATCGGAAACGCGTCCTTGGATTCAGTGTGTGGCGGGGGGGTGCATCCGGGGGTCGGTCCACGCAGGATTTGTAAAACAAGAGTACATGTGTTTTCCACACCCACTTCTATATCTATACACAGATTTATGTGTATACATATATATATATATGTGTGTATGTGTAAGAAGATATGTATATAGTCAGAGCTTGGTAGATGGTTTTCGGAATGCCAGTTGTCTCATCTAGCCTCGTCTCGACTTCATGACAGCGTTGTTGTATGCTGTTATTTTTAGCTCAAGATCGCCTGGCCCTGTACTGCGGCGATCGTTGGTGACACCGCGACGGGCGAAACCGAGCTAAGCCCGTGCTCGCGATCGGCGCTCCCTGTCGGCTCGGTCGCGCTGTTCTGGAGCTAGGCGACCTGGCTTGGCGCTGCCCGCTTCGGGCCCGAGGTCGCCGAGGCCGTGGGCCTGGCGGGGGCGCGCGGCGTCGTCGCGCTCGGCCGAGGCGCCCAAGCCGCCTCTGCCTGGGGGTGGCGGGCCCTGCAGGCGTTCGCCAGCCTCGCGAGCTCCGCGGCGGCTGCCGCTTGGGAGCACCGCGGGAGCCTGGCACGGGGCGCGCGCGTGGCCTGGAAGGTTGCTGGCCGTGGGGCGGGCGGCCGCTTGCTGGAGCTGCGGCGCGGGCCTCGTCGGGTGGTTGCGTGGTCGTCACGAGGCTCGGCGTGCCGAGGGCGAACGACGACGCGAGCTCGCAGCTGCTCCAACCGCTCTCGAGTACGCCTTGGTGGAGATGGCGCTGGCGGGCGGCGTGGCCGTGGGCGCGGCAGCGCCGTGCTGGGTGCTTGTGTCGTGCGCTGGCGAGTGGGACGAGGTGCTGATCTTCGGCCAGGTGATGGCGACGGTTTTCAGCCTGGGGCTCACCACCGACGACGCTGGCACGTCCTTCGTGTGGGTGTTGCTTCGACTGCTGCCTGGGCACTTTCGAGCTGCGGTGGTGCCAGGCGGGGGAGCGCCCTGTGCGCCGCCGTTCGGGGTCCCGATCGGCTCGGCGAACTGGGTGTGCGAGCCGGCCACGCAGCGAGGCAGTGGGGCCCGAGCGTGGCCGAGCTGGCAGCACTCCGCCTCGAGGCCCAGGGCGTGGACGTGGCCATCTCGACGATTGTGCTGCCCGCGGGCGTCGTCACGGATGCTGGGTCGCAGCAGCCAGCCCTGGCCGCCTTCACGCTTGTGGGTGGACCGCTCCCGCCGCCAGGGGCTGGCGCCCTGGTCGCCGCGCCGCCTGCGGGGGCGGCCGCGGGGCCTGTGGCCCCCGCGGCGGTGTCTGCGCTACCAGGCGCGGGCGGGGCGGCACCCGCGGATGCCGCGGGTCTGGGCTTCCGCGGCGGTGGGCGTGCCATACGCCGCAGCAGGGGCGGGAGCGGCGGCGGCGCCGCCAGACCTGGCCCAGACGCTGCAGGAGGCGCGCGCGACCCAGAGCCAGATCCAGAACGGCAGCGGGGCCAAGGACTCCAAGGACAAGGAAAAGACGAAGAAAATGGACTCGAAGCACGACAAGAAGAAGAAACAGAAAAATCAGAAAAAATCAGGCTCCAGCAGCACCTCCAGCGACAGCGAGTACCTGCAGAAGAAGGGGCCCAGGGCGAAGAGCCGCCGCGTGGACCCCGCCCAGGAGCGCAAGCTCGAGACCGAAAAGTTCAAGGCGAAGGGGGACCTGTTGGCGTTCGCTGCCGAGCACCCAGGGGCGCTGTCTGGCTACTTCCTGGCGCTGGCCCACCGCGAGCTGAGCCAT